ATACAAACTAAAGATTTATTTCCTTCTCTTTTTTCATTTATTGAGACAGGATCTCACTATATAGTACAAGCTGGCGTTAAACTCACTAAAATCTTCCTGCCTCAGTCTCCTACACAAACCAGTACCACTACAACTAGGTATTTCACATCTCTTCAGTATCAATTTTTCTGAAAGGATAATGCAGATTTACAAAAAAATTTGAGCAAGGCAATTTTTTTCTCAGTAGTTAGGAGAAAGTAATTTTTCCTCCATAGTCTCTATGCTTGACTCAGGAGTCCTGGTGGGCAGCCAGAAGTCATGTGCAACTGCTCTAAGCAGAATGAGAACAAACAAAACTGACAGCTAAGATGCTATATTAACCCTTTTAGAAAAAAAAATGAAGAGACATTCTCCCTCCTTTTCTTAGAACATTGCCTTTAGATAACATGAAATTGACAATATGACATTACTCTCAGAAGCAGGGTAACTCTCTTACATTTCTTGTTTTTTTTGTTTGTTTGTTTGTTTTTGTTTTTTCTCCAGTACCGGGAACCAAACTCACGACCTTGCGCTTGCCAGGCAGGCGCTTTTGCCACTGAGCTAAATCCCCAGCCCCTCTTTTACATTTCTTGTTGCTGAGACAAACACCCAAACCCAACACCCAAAGTTGAAGGAGGAAAGATGTATTTAGCTCACAGTTTATAGAGGTTTCAGTCCATAATCAGTTGGTTCCAAGGCAGGGTGGTCTTGCAGAGGAGAAACAGTTTATGGCAGGCAGAATGTAGCAAAGTAACAAAGAAAGGTCCTTGACAGTGTCTTTCCACCCCTTTTATAATGGTTTGTTTGTTTGTTTGTTTGTTTGTTTTCTGGTAACGGGAATTGAACTCACGACCTTGTGCTTGCCAGGCAGGCGCTGTGCCACTGAGCTAAATCCTCAGCCCCCCACCCCTTTTATAATGTATCTAGGCTGCCAGGTTAGAGCAGTGCCAAACCAATCAGTGCAGTGATTTCATGATCAAAAACCCTTAATTCCAGCATCAAACACTAGATCAAGCCACTTTTGAAAAGCCACACCTATGACAAGATAAGGTTTGGGGGACTCATCTAAATATAAGCCATAAAAGTACATAGAGGAAAAGAAAAATGAAAATTAGGGGTCTGATATCTAACTTTTTTATATCTACCTTTAAAAAAATGAAAAGAAGATATATCCTCTCTCCTTTTCTCCGAGCATTCCTTTCAGAAAACATGTCATTGGAAATGCTTCCTCTTCCCCCTTTGCCATGTTCACAAATAGGATTTACACTGAGGAATGTCTTAGGACCTGGTAACCTCTTTGACATGGAAGCATCCAGACAGATGGTGCCCTGCATTCTGGTTTCTGGGAAGGGAGGGAACTTGGGCTGTAAGGGCCAGGTTTGGTCTCTGTCATGCAGAGAGGAGTCCTTCCCCTCTTTGCGTAAAGCCACTTGTTAAGCACAGATGGGGAGGTGCTTTGTAGGAATTTAGATGCTGCAGGTGATTCCACTTCTTGAGGGCTGGTTATTGTTTGTCAGGAGAGTGCGGCATGGCTGGATGCCCTGGCTGTGTTAAAGAGTGATGTTCCTTCCTGTCTTTGTAACTTCTAATACATTGTAAAGAGCAGCACACTGGCTTTATGCTTCTTCAGTGACAAAAGTGCTTTCTTTCTCACAAAGTCTGTGGACAGGCTTTTCAAATTGGGGCAGGAGGTGGATTTTGATTCTAAATCTATTTCTCAAAAGCCAGAAGGCTTCACTGGGGGCTTTTGCATCAGAAAACAATTTTAGAATACTCATTCATTCTGCATTTTTCTGGCATCTGGATCAGCCCTAGCAGAAGCACGTAGAGGATTCCTGGGACCTCATACCATCTTGAAAGTGGAATATAGAGTCCTTGCATTACTGATTTTCCTGGGACCATGTCAGTTACCTTTCTTGAGTACCAAATCTCCACTGAGGTTGACTTTTGGAGGCTTGGCCAGGATTACCTGGGTGCTTCTCAGGATGGGGCCTTGGATAATTGGGGTCCTCAAAAGCAGGCCTTAGAACTGCATCCCAGAATATGATATGATTTGGAGATGACGTGCGGGATGTACTAAGGGCTTGGACTTCTTCCAGGAAGGCAAGATTTGCTTAATGTCAATGTACATATGGAGGATGAAATGAGGTTAATGGTCCAGAACACCATTACCTTCAACCTGGGGGAGTGGCCTGCATTGGTGGCTCTGTGCTCCCCCATGGAATCACATTTTATTTTTATTTTTATTTTTTTTTGTTTTTTTGTTTTTTTGTTTTTCTCCGGTACCAGGAACCGAACTCACGACCTTGCGCTTGCCAGGCAAGCGCTTTTGCCGCTGAGCTAAATCCCCAGCCCCCTGGAATCACATTTTAGACACACAATGTACATGCACACACATACATACACGCAGGCTCTTCAGTTAAGGAGGACAATTCAAGAGAAATTCTGGAGCAAGATTCATGGCAAGAGCCAAAGGCAATGTTTCAGTACTGTGGTGGCCACAGAGGACTCTGCTGAGGTTGTCTCAGATCTCATGGCAGAATTTATTCCTTCTCAATAGAGGGTCACTTTTTGAGGCTCCCTTTGACCTTCTGTGACCCTGTCATGCCCTTCTCCAAATTTCAGACACAGTTATGGACCCTTCCTTTCAGTCCTTCAGGAAGATTTGGGACAGCCCCATCATCAGACAGTGGCCTAGGTCAAGGAGGAATGGGAAGAGCCACTCTGAGTGGCAGGGGTCTCCCTCCCTGGCCGTGAGTGATAACCAGACATGTGAGCCTGGACCAATTCAGGACACCCCTTCCAACATATTACTAAAAATAACAAGATCTGCCTAGCATGAAGTATTTAACATTCTCCTACCCCTTAAAAATATACATTTTTATAAAATGAAAACCATAATAAATATTTTGAATATTAAAAAAATTAACCTACAGAAGGAAATTAATGGAGAAACCTATTTGCCTTGTACTTTTTCCTCAATTGTTGCTGCTAGCTGTACACATCTCTAGTGCAGTTCTTGCCCATGGGACACTCATCAATTAGGTTTCATTTTTATTTTTCTCCTCTACCCCCAGAAAGAAGCCTGTTAGTTTTTTTCCCTTCTCCTTTGGCAACTGTGTGGTGAATCCTTTCTTGCGTGATCAGGTTGTGGATAGACTTGTAAGGGTGTTGCTACATACAGTGTAAGCATTGTGACCGCCAATAAACTTCAATGGTTTCTACTGAAAAACAAACAAACAAACCTATTACTAGTAGCTTCCCCTTCTGTTGCCTGCAGAAGGAATCTATCCAGGATGAATATTCTGTTACTAATATTAGTCAGGGAGCCATAATAAGCTTGGTTTCCACTCTTGTTTGTGAGATGCTTCCTGGCCATGTGGCAGCAGGTGTACAGATACACTTCAAGGATGATATATTTAGGCCTGAGGTACTAACACATTTACGGGTACCTGAGCATCTGGGGACAAAGGAATGTGTGTATCCCATTGGTGGCAGACCTGGCAGTCTCACCAATTCCACATGCTCTTACTGAACAACCCAGAATACTCCTTGCCACATTTCCCCTAAGTCATGCTGGCCCTCTACTGGCCAGCATGATCACTGACACAATTTGAATAACAGGGCCACATCCTGCCCACCTTGCACTGAGACTGTTCAGCTTCTCTGTACAGCTGGCTCCATTCTCCCCATGAGGCTGGGGTGGCTCCAGATGTAAAACCTGCAGACACCTGGAAAAGTCTTTAATCCTTTCTGCTTATGCTTCGGCTCCATTACAATGCCCTGGACCCTGCCTGAGCTGTCCTGTGTGACCAAGAGGAAGCACAGTGGCCCTGGTAGTTCAGCTAACCCAGGATATTTGCACAGGTCCCGAGAAGCAGAGATGCTCAGCTCAGCCCAGCAGACACTGACAGCTCTACAGGCTCATAAGTGAAATTAGCATTTCACAGATTGTTTTAATGCAACATTAGTGCGCTGTTACACAAGGAAACACAAACAACCCAGAAACACACAATGGAGCAGAACCATCCATTTCACTTTCAAAAAGGTTAGATTCAGATGTGCTCAGGGATGAGATTCTTGTTTATCTGCTTAAATGAAGGATTTGCATGTTAGTACAGTTAAATCCATCAGATCCCAGCTGGCTTTACAGGCTGGCCTTGAATGCCTTGCAACCCACCCTCTGCCACATGCAGAGATGACAGATGCCCACCATGCCCAGCGCTTGGGAGGTGGTATGTTAAATGAAATGTAGGAATACCCACAAGCCTCATGACAAAGCTAAAGAAAAACTGGCCTGTCTCCTGGAAGCCCATGCGTAAGTAGAGGGCAATGGCACTCTGCTGCACTATGCTGGTGTCAAGCACAACTTCACCATAGCCCTGGTCCCGGGCAAACTGGAGGACAGTCCTGACCAGGGCTTTTGCTATCCCCTCCCTTCGGTGCTCCATTGCCACGGAGAGGTGAAACAGCTGCAATTGCTTCTTCCCCGGTGGTGGATTCTCCACTGGCAGAGCACCCACAGTGCCCACCACCTGCCCCCCAGACTCGGCAACCCAGAAACAAGAGTCAGATGCACTCAGATAGGATTTGGTGATGTCAGCCAGGTCAGTGCGCAAACAGGTGACCACATACTGCTTCCAGGGGTATCCAACAAAGAGCCGTAACAAAACAAGGAGGGTGAAGTCTGACAAGAAAGCCAGCAGCCAGGACCCAGAGACCAGGAGAATGGAGAATGGCACCCCAATTAAGAACACGAGGATTTGGGGCAGCATCAGTGTATGGCGGAAGGTGGCGGGGATGTGCTCCACCATGCCCTTGTAGAACAAGTCCACGACAGTTTTTTGGTCTCTCTCCTGGTACTTCCGGATGTGATAAGGAGCCATAGGGACACTTCAGTGTCTAAAATATCAGTGTCCACAGTGACAGCTAGACCTGATGGCACAACTCTTGAACAGCCCTAGAATAGAGAGGAAAAAAAACACGTGAGTCCCTCTGCCATGGACTATGGTCTCGCCATGGACTATGGTCTCCCCAGCACAAGGGAGACCATGTCCAAGGCTGTGTTTCTCTTATCATTGATAAGGAAGCATAAAACCACCACTGTGAGAATGTGAACATCAAAAGCACCTGATTAGAATACCAGTTTCTTCCCTTTCTAGCTCTGTGACCTGGAGCATGTAACTTAACATCTCTGAGCCTGTGTACCTTTATCTGAAAAACAAAGCAGTACATTGTTGTTTTGAGAAATTAGTAGAATAACATATATGAAAGACTGGCACATGTAGCATCTTTTCCTCCACCCTCATTACCCTATCACAGTCTCTTTGAGCTTCTTGGTATGGCACCTGTCACAGCCAGACCTTATGTCTTCAGGCCTTTGTTTCCTCCCCAGGTTCCATTCATTGCAAAAATCCTGTGTCCCCCAAGAAAAAGATCAACAAATCTCCACCTGATTGTACAGGTGTAGGCTGCTCAGAAGGCAAAAAGGCCAAATTCGAAAATGGTGGGGCTTCAGATCCCCCAGAAATGTTCAGGCACTCCAAGCTCATATTAAGAGCTCTGACCTTGTACCCCTGTCCACTTACCTGCTCTACCACTGAGCTGACAGTGTAGACAGTGGCCCAAGCCCTCAGCTTCCAACTGGCGTTCAGAAGACACTGTCTAGAGCCTACCCAGGAAGAAGACCTGGGTGCCACCTCATTGGCTCTTGTGAATACATGATAATCATGAATTACAAGGTCAATGAGCTGGGTTGTGATTCAGCAGGGAGTCCAAGTCCACTTACCTTTGTGATCTTTGCAGAAGTAACCCTGGAGGAGAAAGCAGGGTCTGGATGGGTCCACAGGTCCTCACTGTCATGGGAGGATTGTCACCTGCCTCCTGTTTTCTTTGGGACACAGACCTTCTCACTCAGCACAGTGGGCCTTCTCTGAGGTCCACTCTGGTCCCCTACACACTTCTGCTAGGAGCCTCGGGACTGTGCTTGTCACCCTGGGCTCCTTTAACAAGGGGCAGAGTCCAGGATCCTTCCTGAAAAACAATGTCTGTCACATCTGTGCTTCTCCCTGCCAGAGCTTTACCTGTTCCAAGGACAATGGATTGGGGGGGGGCTCACACTCACCTGCCCCTCCCCATCATTAACTTCTTCAGCAGCTGTATCACCTACTGTCCTGCAGGTGTCCTTCACAGGAACTAGGGCATTGGGCATGTTTTGGAGCTGTGCAGGTGGCTCAGAACCAGTGCCATCATGTGTTTTACACAATTAAGCTGAACATGTGTCTCAATAAGAATGACAATGGTAAACAAAACGGTAAATCACTCTCCATGGAATTCTCTATGGAAAGGAGAATTTGCCTTCCAAATGATCTTACATCTGTCCAAATAACCTGTATCACTTAGGGTTCACTAGAGGAACAGACTTCATATTACTGTGTGGTATGTAGTATGTGTGTGTGTGCACGTGTGTATAAGTGTGCATGTGTAATACATAAAGGAGTTACATAGTAGCATGACAATGGCTGCCTGCAAGACAGCCATCTGTGTGCTGAAGAGTGGAGGAGCCAGTCAAATGTTAAAAGTCGGAGCTCGCTGCAGATTCCCCTGTGAGTCTGTATCGGGATGTTGAAAGTTCTGCACTGGAAAGCTGCAGAGTCTGTGCTGGAAGCCTGGAGGTGGACGTCCAAAGGTAATGAAGAAGACTGGAGCTCTTCCAAAGAAGCAAAATGTAAGCCTTACCATCTATTTTTCCTTTTTATTCCCTCCAGGCTGTGGGCCTATTTGTTAGTGCCACTGGTGATTCCATGGAGAGGGAGCTACCCTTTGGTTGTATTGTCACTTGGCCTGTACATGGAGAGCAGATCAGAGAGGCAGGAATGGTTGCAGATTCCCCCAGAGGTGAGTACAGCATCTGAGCTGGAGAGACCTCCAGATGCCGTCTTGCAGCTTGTGTACAAAAGCACCTGGCCAGGGAAGCCTAATATGAACTAAATTGAGCCTACAAAAATTGTCAAAGTCTCAGCCTACAAGGAAAAAGCACTTATTTCTAATTTTCTCTGAGGCACTGTTTCTCCAGTACCCTGCATTAAGGATGTACATGGCATGAAGAATCTACGTCAGTGTCCACAACAGAGCATCTGGATCAGCAGAGGCCAAGAGTCAAAGTGATGCATTGAATGACAGGGAGGCAATTGAGGTGGTGAGACCTGGAACGTCTCGAGGTGTATTTGGAGGCAGAAAAGGCAGGAGTTAGAATGACTGAGGGGGATGAGCAGGAGGAAGGGATCAAAGACCATGACAAGAGCTTCTGGGAGGACACAGGGAAGAGTCCAGAAATGGAAAAGTGAGGGCTTATCCGTAGATGCTGCATCCAGCAACCTCATCTGGAAGCAGATGTTGAAATCTGGCAGCTGAAACTCAGAGCCCCTGGTGGAGGCTGCTGAGCTGTTAGGATCTTTGGCATGTGACCACAGCTCAAGGGTAATATTAATATCAAATCTGGGTGGTGAGTGTACTGCTAACATTGTTTTCAGTTCATTTTAATACTGTCTATGGAGCCTTGAATATTCAGCTAGAAGTTGAACCAGGAATTTAAAGAGAGCAAAAGGCTCTAGGGTACAAAGTACTCCTGTAATAGAAAATGTTAAGACTAGCAGCTTCATAGTTAACAGCCTTGACAGAGTATACCAGCTACAACCCAGAGATGCTTTGGCCCAGCTGTGTCTGACCACATCCAGCTGCACCAAGGCCTGTAGACATATCCTGTTTGCTAGCTTGTTTCAAGGTCTTCCTCCCTGGAACAGAATAGCCCAGTCAATGACACGCTTGAGTGATTATACTCGCTGGTTTGGCCCCACTCCCCCTGACATCCCCACCATATGATAAATGACCCTTGCTAACTCAAACCTGCCTAAAATAAATCTGCCTGGCAATATATGATTAAACATAAGTAACGAATTATGGAGTAGCTGGCTACCAGCCTTTGTACTTCCTGCTTGCAAATTGTGTATAAGATTCTTCTTTGCTTTGAGTCAGAGCTGGTGATTTAAAACTAAGTTCCCACCAGCCTGCTGGCATAATAAATTTAGTTGCCTTCTTATTCCTTGGAGCAGAGCATTTTCCATTCATTTTGGTACTAGTTATGTAACACTCCTAATGAGTCCGTAATATTAACCAGTTGGAAATCCAAGTCATGCTGAAAGGCAAGAGGCTTGTGCACTGTCCTTGTCCTCTGTCTCTGTTTATTCAGTGGTTCTGGGAGTCCCCTAAACCTCTAGTTATAGTCAGGCTTTTCATCCTTCCTCGGCTTCATCATTGCATCTATCTCTGAGGGGCTTTCTACAGGAGCATGGATTTTTGAGTCAGAATTAGCTGCTTCAATCATCATGTATGGCTGAGTTTCTTTCAGGTTCTTTCTTCACATAAAGAGCAGTAGATGTCGCAGGCATGGCTATCACCCTCAGAGGATAACCCTGGATGCTCCCAGAATACTGACACCCCAAATAGGAAGAGATCTCCTCTTTGAGCCCAAACAGATGAGTATCTATATACTGAAAGAGCATCACTAGGAAACAGGATACTGCTATCACGCTGGTGGAGGGAACTACAGCGCACCTGGGAGCTGAGGGGCAACTCCTGTGAACACTGCACAGAACAAGGTTGTCCCTTGGGGTGAGGTGTTGGACACGGGTGCAGGTAGGCAGCAAAAGGTGCCAACCCCACTCTGTACTAACAGATCTGCAAAGATCATAACTCCTGGAGTGCTACTATTCTGATCCCCCAACTCCATGCCTCTCTGAGCTTATTATGGGACAGACAGTAGGAATAGGCAGATTGTAAAAGAAATTGAATCCTGACTGAAACACACAGTAATAGATCACAGTCCCACTTCCTGAGCACTAGAGAAGAGGTGCATTAAATGAATAGCCACTAGCCTTGAGATCCTGGAGGTAAAGGGATGGCCCATCTTCTGGAAGGCCATGCCCAGGTAAAGGCCCAGGACACTCTTCAGTACCATGCTGGTCTCAAGCACTTCATCACAGCCCTGGTCCCTGACAAACTGGAGGACAGCCCTGACCAGGGTTGTGCTATCCTCACTCAATGATCCATGGCCACTGAGAGATGAAACAGCTACAAGTGCTTCTTCTCCAGGGGAAGACTCTCCGCTGGTACAGCACATATAGTGCTTACCACCTGTCCCCTAGTTTCAGCTACCTCTAAGCAGATTCCATATACACAAAGGAAGGATTTGGGGATATTAGCCAGTTTACTGTATACGCAAGCAATCACATACTGCTTCCAAGGATATCTGACAAGCAGCCATAGGAAAATAGAGGGCAACACTGAACACAAGAACTAAAGTCAGGATGCAGAGAAGGGGACCCCAAGCACAAGGAGGAGGGTTCTGGGAAGCACCACAGTGTGGCAGAAGTGGGCAGGGATATGTCCCACCATGCCCCTGGAAAACAAGTCCAGGACAGTTTTGGGTCCACCCTTTTGGTATGTGTTGATGTGATAAGGTGCCATGGGGACAGTTCTGCACCTGAAGCCATGTAAGTGTCCGCACAACTCCCAGCCTTCCAGGAACCATAAAGACCCTGCTTAGCGTGTGCACCTTTCTGTGTCATCCAAAATGTAACAGGTCATTATGACTAGGACTGTGATGCTCAAAAGCTAACTGCGGTTTCTGTGGAAATCAGTACGGATATTCCTGAAACTCTGGTTTCTCCCCTTTCTAGGTGGCTGAACTTGGGCAAGTCACTTAACCTCTCTGAACCTGTGCCTTCATCTGGAGAGCAAGGACAGTAACACTTGTCTTCTCTGATTGTGTGAGGATGAACAGAATAAGTTATGTGAAGCACTGGTATACGGCATCCCTGCCCTTTGACACTCACTGCCTTATTATGTGCTCTCAAAGCATTTTGATATGTTGGGAAGGAACCTGTGGCAGCCAAGGTCCAAGGTCTTTGGTCCCTCCCAACATTCGTGCATTGTAGAAATCCTGTGTTCTCACCCAGCAGTTTCGGCAAACACTTCCCCACCCCAAACTGCATACATTTAGACTGCTGACGAGACAAAAGAGCCAGAACAAAAAAAGGGCACAGAAGGTTGGGAACTCCAAGCCTCCAGGAGGAACTCCAGGCCTCTGGAACCTGTATCAGTGCCTTTTACCTGCTACTACAGAGCCAAGAGCGTCCAGGACAATTTCAGTTCTTAGCCTCCAAGTCTTATCCAATGTAAACTGACTAGGCACTGCCACAGCGCTGGCGAGAAGGTCCAGGTGTCTCCTCATTGACTGGCTCCTGGAAGTCTAATAAAACTCTACGATCATGGAGCTAGAATGTGACAGCTGTGAATCCTGGGGAATTAACCTGCAGGAATGCAAAAAGCATTCCTACCCTCTGCAGAGGCCTGCCACTGCTTGTCCTGTTCTCTCAGGCCACAGCACCACTCTTCAGAGACTCAACTCTCTCTGAAATCTTCCCAAGTCCCCTGCATCCACATCCTAGGAGAGTGGAGATTCTACCACTCATCCTGGGATCTCTTATCACAGGCCACACTTCACATCTGATGACTCAGGAACTTGGCCCCTCACAGCAATGATTATCCCCGATGAAAACTTGGCAAAGCCCTGGTCCAAGACAAATGGATCCTGGACAGCTCCCCACATTCAAGCCAAACTTCACCCACAACTTCCATTTTTTTTCCTCTCTTCATTCAGTCCTTCAGCAACAGTGTGGATAGTGGCACCCCTGTGACAGACACTTGCAGTGGTGGTGGCTGAGCTCCTTTCACCAGGCAAATCAGATGTCATTCTGGTGACCTGTCAATAAGCCCTAACTTTACGTGATCACCTGTCCCATATTTTATGATCTGGGCCATCCTAACCTCTTCAGATACTGCTGCAATGCTCCCCTCTCAGGTTCAAGTCACCAAGCTCTAAAATAGATCGTTGCGCTCTCTTCCTTCATCTCTTACCCTGATTCCTTCCTCCCTCCCTCGGGGTCTATTTGCTCCAGCGCCAGGGCCAGGAGTCCAGGGCTCTATTGTGTGAGCTCCTTGGGAGTATGGAGCACAACTTTCGTCGTTCGCCCACCCGTGCTGTTTTTAAAAGGCAGGTCTCACTGTTTTTCCCACGCTGACCTCGAACCCCTGGGCTCAAGCGATTTGCTTGCTCAGCCTCCCGGGTAGAGGGGACCCAGAGGCGAGCCAAGGCCCGGGGCTGCTTATGCGTTTTCGGGCTCCTCACTAAACTTTCCCTCTTGCGGGCAGAGGCTGACTGTATCATAATTTCCATGCTGCATTCCCAGGGGTGGGCCTTGGTAGGTAAGGGATGACTAGCTTCGAGTAACCACATGACATTAAACTGTTCAAGCTGCCAGAGGTTCGTGTATCCCTTCCTAACCGCGCCAGCTACCTCCCGGACAGAACTCACCCTCTTGTCCCGGTCCTTCCCAGAAAATCTCCCCCACGGAAACAAATCCCTCAGCCTTTGGGTGTGATGCCCAATCTCCACCATCCCACAACCAGTTTCCTTGATCTCCACAAGACTTCCGGGGTCTCGGGGGACGCGGGGGGTTCTTGGTCCGGTTGGTCCGTCCGCTGACCCTCCCGGGCAAATCTGAGTCTGCGCGGCAGACGCGAAGATTAACAGATACTGGTTTTTCAGTTCAGGCGCAGGCGGAAAGGATACCGGGTGGAAGCAGAGGTCTGGTTGTGAGTTCCGGATTTATGCTTAACCTGCCTTAGGCTTGCTGGGAACCTTCTCCTTTCTTTCCGTACTTACTGACAACATGAGGTCTATATAGCTGTTTCCACTGATCGAGATTCCACAGTTCATCCCCAGGGCGGTAGAACGCAGTTTGCTTAATTTATTTTGTTTTATTTTTTGGTACCGGGAACCGAACTCACGACCTCACGCTTGCCAGGCAGACGCTGTACCACTGAGCTAAATCCCCGGCCCAGTTCACTTAATTTACAGAGCGGACACTGCTCTGATTTGTGAGATTTAAGACACTTGGTGACAGTACATGCTTAAGGTGAGCCTCTTTATCTTCAGTAGGTCCCAAAATTTGATGTGTAATCTTTATATACTCTCCAGAGGAGGGTAAAAAGGCTATAAATCAATTTCCATTTTAATTATGGTGAGGCTCATCTTTATCGGTACAGTACTTTTCTTTGCAAGGAAAGATGAACTTAGCTTTTAGGGGAGGACATGTGCTATGGAGAAAAATAAAGAAAAAAGAAGGAACGCCAGGCTGCAGGTAGAATTACCCATTTTAAGTAGGATAGTTGAGAAAGATATTTACAAAAAGGGCCATTTGAAACAATGACTGTGAAAGGTCTGGAAGCAAACTGTTTATATCTGGGAGACCAGCCCTCCAGGCAACAGAAGAGTTCTGAGACAGAGAACTGTATGATTTCAATACACAGGAGAAACACTATGTGTATTTCCACCACCTCCACCCTCATCAGCCTCCTCCTCCAACTCCTTCCCCCTTTATCTTTCTTCTTTTTGAGTATAGCAGATAGAACCCTGGGCCTTATGCATGCTAGATAAGGACTCTACCACTGAGCTATATGCCCAGCCTGTATTTCCCTTTTAAATTTATTCTGACAACAGAGTAGTGTCCAGATTATAGAAAAGATTATAACTCTTTGCGCATGGGGAGGGGGTTGTAATCTGAGCTACTGGGGAGACAGGCAAAAGGATCTCAAGTTGAAGGCCAGCCAGAGCAATTTAGTGAAACTTTCCAAAAGAGAAAAACATTAAAAGCACTGGAAATATAGCTCACTGTGAGGCCTTAGATTTAGTGCCAAGGACTGTAGTAAATGAATAAATACACAAAACAAACACAATAAATAGACAAATACACGAAAGAAACACAAAAATAATAAGAAAAACAGTCTAGAACCAGGCATGGTGGCTAGTGCCTATAATCCCAGCACTCAGAAGGCTGAGGCAGGAGTACCATGGGAGTTTGAGGCCAGCCTGGGCTTCATAATGAGTTCAAGGCCAGCCTGAACTACACAGCTAGACCTTACCTAAAAAAAAAAAAAAAAAGGAATCTAATTCAGAAGAAGTGAGATATCTAAAACCACTGTACAAAAGATAAAAAACATGTAAAAAGATTCTCAGCATCATTAGAGATATAGGAAATGCAAATTTAAAACATATTGAGATAAAATATGAAACAATGACAATACCATGTCAATCATGAAGAAATGGAATAGATATAGATATAAATGATAGATATAGACATATAGATAGATAGATATAGATACAGATATAGATATAGATATAGATATAGATGTAGGTATAGGTATAGATATAGATAGATACATGTGGAGAAGGACATTCTCTAGATGTGTTGCCTCAAGCCTGACCAAGCCATGGTTGTTGGGCTCTGGAGGAAGTCTAGCAAAAGCATTGTTAACCCCGGGGACAACACTAGATGCTTTTCTGAAATATGCCCTAAGGAAGATAACATGATGGCTTACTGGTCAAGTCTCATTCCTATGATAATAGAGTTGTACTGGCCTTGCTAAAATGTTTGAGATTGCCCAAATTCTGAATTCCAGGGCTACCTGCTTTGTTCTTGCTGAATAAAATGTGACTGGAGATGGCAGTCATGGCTGGAGTCTGGAAGGCGGCTAGCCCCGGAGCCAAGGTATATGACTCTGGAGTTGTTCTTTGGGGTAATGGATTGATACATCCATGGGCACCTCATTCTGGGGACCTGTACACCCTGGACAGAGATAGGGATGAACAGTCTGACAGATACAGATATAGATATTGATGTTTAACCACTCTCCTGTTTAATTATTGTTAGGATTTACAATCAAGGCACACATTTGGACTTAAAATGTGCTGCTTGAACTAGGACCTGGCTTTTTTTTGTTCAGTTCTGTGCATCTTATTTATAGACCCTCAGTGTCTTGTTTTGTAAAGTACACCTTCTTTATACATAACTAATTTTTGTTACTTGTGCTACAGCAAACAGAAACACTGAGACAATACCCAGGATTTGGGGGCAGATTTATTTATGTTGATGGCTACTGGTTGGGATCATTCCCAGAATATCAGGCCCTGATCTCTGGTGGTCTAAAGCTTATATGGGATAAGCAAGCAGGAAGTACAGAGGCAGAATGGCTTGTCAGTTGGGGATTGGTTTGTACAATGTGCATCATAGTGACTATGACATACAGCTATGCACTGTAGTCATCAACTGTTTCTAAGAAACAAATGTAACAGTAATTATAACGCAAATGGTTACCTAGGCAACCAACAAGCGGAAGTATACTAGCTGGGGAGGGTGTTTTCTGGTACAGCTGTACTGTATCATATAGTACTGTGGTTTTAAACTAGTATACGTTACAGTACTGCATATAATAGTTATGCAAATAAAAACAAAGTCATCAAGTTGGGGTGTCCTTTGACCATTTCTTTGTTCTAAAAATTGTAATATAAATAGTGTATACAGTTCTTCATTTAGTGATCAGTTCATTTAATGACCTAGGCCTAGGAATATGTCATGTCATTAAACAAAGAGTGTATGTATTGTTCCTGTTATAAATGTAAAATAGTATAGCAACTTTAGACAAGGGCCAGTTCCTTTGAAAATGTTAAACATATACTTAGCATACCCACCAGTTCCACTCCTCAGTGTT